GTAATTTTTTGGGGCCGGGAACCAATTAATTGGTTTGTAGGATTCGAACCCGAGTTCTGAATGGATTAAGTTCGAGTTACCACTGTATATATTTATGGGATATATATATATGGGTGCAGATTCAGCAGATGGTCTAAAGCAGGGGTCTCCAACTCCGGTCCTGGAGAGCTACTATCCAGTAGGTTTTCTGTCCCACTTGGCTTCTGATGAGCGGCACCTGTTTCTGGTATTTACCTGAGAACAGGTGTGGCTCATCAGAAGCCGGGTATGATAGAAAACCTACTGGATGGTAGCTCTCCAGGACCGGAGTTGGAGACCCCTGGTCTAAAGTCTTTTATTACTTGAATTGTTTAATATTTTAATAGTTTATCATGGATGACTCAGATCGGCAGAGCATGTGTGACTGAAACCCATGGTTGGCTCAGATTCTGTAGTGCAGGGCTCTTCAAATCTGGTCCTCGAATCCAAACCCAGGCCTTGTTTTCAGTTAGTTTAATAATTACTAATTCTTATTGGCCAGAGGCTTCATACCTGGCTCACAAGAAGGCTGGAAATTCAGCAGTGCTCGGCCCTTGAGGACCGTGATTTGAATAGCCCTGCTGTAGTGACAAACCATATTAGCAAATAATCGAAAAGGCAAATTTTAATTAATGATTTTATAAAATCGAGTAATCGAGTTTAACCTTTACAAGATTATAGAAGCGGCCAGACCATATATGACATGAAGACCTGTCAGATTAAAGCAAAAACAAATCCACCATCAGACACAGAATTAGACATGTACAGTACATTACAACCATACTAATTAACAAGAGCAAAACCAATGCAAAATCAAGGACATGTTGAAATGCAAACATGCATGTGTATTTATACACATAATACGTTCCATCGTAATAAACAATTAGAGATGTCATGATTACTAGATTAAATAAATAAAAACATGACACAAAATACAAATAACAACCTGAGTTTGCTCTTTTTGTCCCTTGCTGTTGGATTGTGATGTCCAGACAATCGCGTGAGTGCATTGATATAAGGGCCTGTTTTTGTCATTCTACTGAGTTTCCTAGATGTGCAAGGACTCTTTACTGCTCCATAGGCCACTGTTGATCCTAACCAGGGCAAGTGTGCTGGTATTACATTTCATTGTTGGCACGGTGTCTGATTCCACTGTCGTCTGGTGAAATTTAATGGGTTTGTGTATTGTGGGAAAGTTTGTTTCTCAAGCCTTCGCAGAGAGAATCCCACAGTCTGAGAACAAACTGCAAAACATGCTGGTACCCTGTTCTTGAAGGCAAAAACACCATGTTGCTTTAATCTTCGGTTTTTATTCTATACCCACAATAAGAGCAATATGGCAGGAAAGCTTTATCAAAGATAATTTTCCCTTTAATACTGCCCTCGAAACAAATCTGACCCATATTTAATTAACGAGGTGTATTTGTAATGTCTTCTATCAGTGTGCGTGACTCATTTCATTACAGCTGTTCTGTCGGTACAGTTTTGTAACCGTCCTGTCCTCATTCCAAATGTAAATGATGTGTTCCACAAGTTATATGCTTCCCATCAGAGAACTATTTATGTTGGTTTAAAATAGGCATGCAAATGAGATTTTCAGCCAGAAATGATTTTTGGTGTTAAAGAAAATCAGTAATCATGATGTCCTGTCTTTTATCCATAATTGAATTGAAATAAACATGTATCGTTACATGTAAACATATAATCACCTATCTACTGTTCCACCTGTTCTCTTGTATTCATTTTCTGGGCAGAAGACCATGGAGATCTCATTGTGCTGCTATTATGACATCGATTCCGGAATATGGGAAGGAAAATTGGGGCACAATCTCTAAAAAAAAAAGGCAGTCTATCCACAAAGGACCTGTTCTTCATTCTTTACTGCATGAAACTGATTGAGAAATGTGTTTGATGTTTGTCATTTGTACCTTTGGAGGGGTCACCTCTCGTGGTGACAGACAATCATTAGACCTGGAAAGTTGTGACCCACAAGAAATGGAGCTGCCCAGTCATAATTTACTTATGTGATGATGATGATGATGATGATGGTGGCAGCCTCATGTTGTAATACATCTGTTTCATGGTCAGTAGCTTTTAAAACAGTACTGCATGTGGCATGTTTTCTACAGGAGGGAACCACACAAGCTTGGAATCCAGACTTTATTGGTTCAGTTGGAAGCTTGGCATCTCAGATGGCTGAACAAGCACTTTATCTGGGTTGGGGAGTTCCTGTCACCCTGGGGTCTGGCTCAGCTGTGGAGGTGTGGCCCGGTCACCAGCTTGTTCCTGGAACAAAGGAATAAAGGATTTTTTTTTCTTTTTTCCCTTGGAGGAGAGAGAACAGATGCTGCCTGCAAGGGTGTCTGGAGCCAGTGGATGAAATTACCACCACGTGACCACAGCGTGAGAAGCCAGCCCGCTGCCCATGGTTCACAATGACCTTACAAGTAATATTTCACACATACAGATGCACACGCAGAGTATGAAATATCACCCCCCATTATCACCACCTTTTGGGCTTAGACGGTACATGGCAGCCATATACTAATATTGTTTTTGATCTCTGCATACCTTTTTTTCGTTTCATTTTGATTGTTGTTTTGTTAAGTAGTATGGACATTTTTTGGCGTTGTCTCCAGTTTTATAGTGTTTTTATATAGATTGGAACGGTGATTTTTCAATAATTGTTATTTTTATTAAATTTCTTTACCAGAGTTTCAGCTAGTTATTTCACAATAAAAAAATGCAGTGTTTAAAATGAACGCTAGGTGGCAGGATTTACTAAAAATCAACTCCTCAGACGCTGAACTGTATCTGTCATGCAAGATATAGAATCTGTATTTGAATTTGCACATCATTTCCTTATAAAATTCTTCTTTTAATAAAGAAATTTAGTGTTGGGTCTGAGCAAACACCAGTGATCTATAACTGTGAGATTAGACTTTATGTGTAAAGAAAGAAAACACAAAATATATTGTTGTAATTCAATTCTTTCTTCCAAAGTAATTTAAGACTCCAAAAGTAACACACATAAAAATGAAACCAATTCAGTGTGTGTAGTATGTGCGGAGTTTGTATGCTCAGGTGACTCCCGGTAACCTGTTTCATAAGTGAATTAGTAATTAGTAATCAACAGCTATTAGAAAATTCACCTCTATGTAACATGCCGTTTAAGGAAGATAATATGTACAGTTGTGTATGTGTATGTATGTTTATGTGTACATGGAGAAGCAGGCTAAGCAGTCCCAGCTATAAAATGAGTAAAACGTGCATCTAAGAGGGGGATGCCCACTGTCCCAGAATTCCATGCATGAAACATATAAGATATATAACAAAGTCAGCAGTCTGTATAACCTGCTTTCAGTCTCAGATCACAGCTGTAAATCCAAACATCAAGACAGGATCACATAGTGTAGTTTCAATTGTGTATGATGAATTACTTGTAAAATGTTTTGTATGTAAGTTTTATTGCAGTCTAAGGTGATCATTCACGCTTTAGAATTTCAGGAATATCTTGATTACAGGGGCGGGTTATGACTTTATTGGCTTTTTTTTTTTTTCCTGTTCTGTAGGTTAAACGAGTGACATGAAAAAAGTGTGAGTTGAGACACGTAGAACTTCGCCTGTGTCTGCTCCAGGGATCTGTAAAAAAAAAAAAAAATGAAAAAAAAACAACAGATTTTTCAGCACGTGTCACCTTTCAAACGTAAGAACCCCAGGATGGAATTCCTGCTGCAACTGAGAGTGTGGGATGTTCTAAGACAGCATCACTTTTAAATTGATGATTACTTCTATTCACAAAACGATTGCTTGTTAATGCATGTATGGATGGCACACCCCTTTCTTACCAGTAATACTGTGGTATTTGCAGCTCTTTCAGTGTTCCCACACTCAAGAGATATTCATTCTATAATATTGTGTGGTAGTGTGCGTGTGGTTTCACTTCATTGTTGAGGAATGTGGTTGCATTTCTACCCAGAAGGCAGCTAAGAAGATTCCTTTAGCTTTCTGCTTTAAATGTATGACATTTCTGTCCAAGGGGACCTAGAGGGCAGTGAAGACCACTGGTGTTCATGAGTCCCTCACTTCCAGAAAATAATTTCCTTGTATTTATTTGTATTCAACAAAAGAAGAACACACCCCCACAGACAGACAGACAGACACACTCGCACAGTGCTGACTTGCTAAGCACACATACCTAATGGCATTAACCGTAGGTCAAGTTCATTTCCAGGGCTGTTTTAAAGAACAAAACATATTTTCTTTACTATGCAAATGTGCCCCCCAGTTTGCATTAATTGTGAAGTACTTCCATAACTTCTTTTCACAGCATATTTTAACAGAATAGCTTGGTATCCGGTTTAGACGAGAGGAAATCTGTGGAGTTGATCTGCTCCCGCTGTGCATCACGGCTTGAGTGCGAGCGGAACTGCCACGTCAAATATTCTGGGTGCCGCTAAGTTGCCATCTGCTGCCCTGAAATTTAGCTTGGCTTTTGCGTAAAAGGTAAAGGGCATTTGGGCTTTAAGATTACATGTGATTTTATGTATGTGGGTTTTATTGTGTGGTATGGGTCATTTCCAGGTGCTGATAGTTAACCCACACACACACAAACACACACACACACACACACACACACAGAGTTTCCAAAGCATGTTAGACATTATTGCCCCAAACAACCTTGTTACAGGAACTCCCAGTGCTGATTTTTCAACTGTTTCCTTAGTTCCAATGATGTAACTTACTTGCCACTACCCAGAACTGGCAGTGCAAGTAATATAGAGCATAATGTAGCATCATGTAATGAAATATAATATCAGTGATCTTTATGATAAATCAGTAGAAAACTTACAGGATGCATTGCAAGGCTGGTGTATTACTGGTGAAGGCTTTAGCTTTTAAATAGTCTAAAGAACAATGCACAATAATTCCGATGAACCACACACACATTACAAAATTTATTAAATAGCAGTCCTGAAATTTGTAACCCTAGACTTTACCCCAAAATGTTGCACTGATGTAGTCCAAATCCAAAATGAGAGAAGTAACATGTGATTTAAGTCCGTGGATTGGACTGGTGGCAGTCTATTGTATTGCAGGGAATGTCCAGTGATTTTCATTAAAAATACATGAATATTGAAAAGTACAAAAAAGACCTTAAATAGTTTTTCCCTGGAGGGCATTTCCCTTTCGGTGTTTTCAGAATCACTTTGGAGCTGCAAACCTTATTGGTCGATTCAGGGTGAAAAGGTGCCTGTCTGCCTGAAAGCCGTCCAATCACTCTACGTAAACATCTGACGATGGGGCACTGAGTAATGAATTGGCTGAGTCTGTGTCCCATGATCTCAACAACACATGGCTCTGTTTGCCAGATGTTTCTCTTGACCTCTTTACCCAGGAGCGGGCTTTGACATTTGATGTTTCTTCTGTTCTACTGCTTGCCTCTTTGGTGCCTAAAGCGCGGTCCCGTTCTATGGTGGGCAGCCATCGACGGTGGCCCAACAATGATAAAAAAAGATCAGCACCGCTCAGCAGCGTGGAGCAGCACCGTCTGGCTCTATGGTTCCTGACGTAGGCTCACAACCAGAATCTGAAAACTGAGTAGCTGAAGATCATGCTTTTATAAAGAGCCTGATGGAGATTTCTGTAGCAGTCTTTCCATCTTTAGGTTGTGAATAACCAGTGTTCCTCTATAACTGTATTTTCTAAGTGCTGTTGATGGGAAGTTGGAATTACAGAAGTGCGACTTTAAATGTAACTGCTTGACTATGACCCTTCATTTACGGTAGCGCGAGTTTGCTTTTGGTTTCCAGTCTGGCACTTGACTCATGCAGCATTTGTGGCTCTGCATCAGTGAGCACACAGTTTACATTGTTGGATGAAAACAAACGAAACGGCCACCTTTGCCATGGCCTCAGACACCATCGATACGACTACATTGTTTCAATTATGAAATCGCCAGTGGTTTCCTTACTCCTCCAAAACCAGACCCTGGGCTCCTTGTCTGGACTTACCTGATGTCATACCAGGCACAGGACCGGATTACCAAGCCCTCCAGTGGTACATTTGGTCCGCAATCAACTTTAGTCATCAGCTTAGGCCTCAAGGAATCATCCTGTACGTGGGGTGGAGCTTACACCGGCTGAGCAAAGTGGGAGATAAATCTAAATCCTCAAGTAAACAAATCAGCTGAAACACTTCACCTCTAGGAATGCAATGAGAACATTCATGAAACAGTGTACAGGCATGCACACTTAAGAAAAATACGTAAGGTGGAGAAGGAGTACCCTCCAACGCAAAGAGCTTTGGTATGTCCTGTCCCTGTCATGAAGCCAGACTGTCATTTACTTGATGGGACATGAGTGATTGTCCCTTTGTGTTGGAAAATAAGGATTTACCGGCATCTGCATATATAGGAAGCGTTTAATAAATAACAAAATCAACAGCAACACAACAATGAACGCATGAATTCTTATATATACTTTTTGACTGTATAAACTATAAATATGATATGCGGTCCTTATAACTTAAAATAACCAGTAATTTACAGTGTGAGATCAGGGTTTGGATTGTGACAGATCGCCATTGGGCAGAGGATTATTGTTGGCTTGGCCTTTTGCTGTCCGTCATACTGCCTGTTGTGGGGGGGGCTTCCAGGACTTGCGGCTGAGCACGCAGACGCAAGCCACATTAATGCGGATGAGTCGCCAGGCCACCAGGTTTTTGAAGGAGGTGAGCGCCCGGACAAACGTGTGTGTGTTGGTGCAGTGGGAGTTCCAGTGGCGGGCATCCACACCCAGGCATCCTGAGGAACCGGACTTAGCAGCCCGGCACATGGTCTCGAAGAAGTACTGCTTCTTGATGACGTTGTTGATGTTGACGTTGGGCAGCACCGTGACGTCATTGCCTGAGATGTCCGTGGCCCTGGTCTTATTGCCCACCCAGGTGCTGATGCTTTCACACACGGAGTAAACGCCGCGGGACTGCGACGGCGCCGCATGCCTGCGCACCCTGGTTCCGGGCTCTGACTCCGGAGGATGGGTGCTGAACAGCACCCGAGCTGAGTGCCGCTGCCTACTGTTGAAGAGTTCGGGGTCCACTGTAGGGGCTGAGTCTGAGAAGGCAGTGTCTGTCTGGCTGAGGCTCTCAGTATCGTCCCAGGGGGCCCTTTTCTGTGATAGGCTCTCGGGCCCGGACTCCTCCCATGCCCGATCCTCCCCCCCCATGTTCGCTGCAGCCTGGACGCCAATCAGGAAGAGCAGGATCAGCATCGACGACCTCATGGGCTCGCGTTCTGCCAACAGAGGAAAGGCGGTCAGTTGGCTGGCACCACCTGCTGTAGCCACCTACCTGGATGCGGGCTGTGCCAACACCGTGCCAGAGGTGAGGGGAGCTAATAAAAGACTGTTCTCTCCACTTATCTGTAGATTACAGAAAATGATCAGATCATAAACCTGACAGTAGCACAATGTTCAACAAATATTTAATCATAAATCTTTTTTGCGGTAGCTTGATTCTGTTTTGATCTTGCTGTTCTCAGCCTTTACACCAACCATGACCGTCTGTATGTACTTCGCTCAAGTTATCATTTCTCATTGTGTGTCCTTCGAAAGCTCATCTGTCCCTGGGCAGAAGCATGTTCCTGCAAGAACCTCACTTTGTTAGGAAGAACAAAGCACAGTTATTCTCCTCAAACAGACCACGGCACTAAATGAATATTATCAAAATCTGCTTTCTTTGCACCATACTATATTTACCATGTCATATTACTTCTTTCTTTTTCAAATTAGGCGTACAGGTTTCAGAAAATGTGTACATTTAATGGGATTGTCGTGCAAGGCTGACTTTCCAGCAGAAGGCCGGTGCGTGACAGCAGAAAATAGGGGAGAGAGTTCATAACCCAGTCATGTCTGTAACACACCAAGGATAACGCTAGACAGGTGTAGAGTATGGTTCATTTTTTCAGCAGTAGTCTGTGCTCAGCAGGTTAAAGAGGCACATCATGATGACATCTATGAAGCATGGGAGTTCCTCAATTGCCATGACAATTATTCTGGCATGGAAGCTATCTTAGGTCTTCCTTGGAGCACACCTTTCTTGGCATTGCCAAGCTTAATTGCCGAAACCAAAATCATAGGTCTTGAGAGTCATAAAATGCATTGGAAAAAGTGCTTTTAAAGGAAAATTGCCAGAACAGAAAAAGACACCCAATCTACGACTGGCGGATAAGCTGCAGTCATAGAGAATTATTCAACAAGTCACTGATTATCCCTCTGTGGCCAATTAAGATTCTTTCCATAAAATTAAGTAACATTATAACCAGACAGACAAGCATGGAGTGAACCCACAGGCATTTAAAAAAATGCATGGAAAATTACTGATTCGATTAAATAATCTGTGCCCTTCGTGGTACCTTTTAGACCGCAGTATTTCAGGACCTCTTGGAAACCGTACAATAGGCATATTCCCACCAAATCATTGTGCTTCTGCCAGCTTTTGGCTGCCTGTGACTGCCCTTTATAAAACGGGAACACCAGCCCTGGTCCTGGGAGCCATCAGTCTATGTCGATTCTCAAGCTCTCTCCTCTATGCTGAGAGAGAAGGTTAAAGTAGTTCATTCAGGGGAAGTCTGGAGCTGCAGCAAATATATGTCACTGGTCGCCAAGCAGTTGACTGGTCAATCTTCAAGACATTTGTAGGTGATCGTGATCCCCCGATTCAGCTCTTCAGATTATTGTCTTTGTAAAAGTAGCTCTCACTGTATAAGCAGTTGGAGAACATTGTTACAAGTGCTTAACCTGAATCAGATTCTCTGCGCATGCTGGCCCTCTGGTGGCTTAGCTGGACACTCCTGAAGTGCAAAAAGCACTTGGTCTTCACTCCACCTCTATAAATGTGGGGTGGTAGACTGTCAGATAATGAATGTTACAAGTAACAGAAACCCACCCCCGGTAAAGGGTCTTGTTCCTTCAGTGAGGATTTTATAAATAAATTGTATTAATTTGTACACCTGGTGGGATTAATATAAAATACCTCTTTTAAAGGTTGAACATCAGGCCCCATTCTGGGATGTCTTTTTACAAAATACTAGAGTATACGATTCTCTGTCTGAGGACTCTGGCCATAATTTATCTTCATTTTCTTCACAGAAAACTTGCCGAATTTACCCTAATAATCTGAGACAGGCATAGGGTATTAAGTAATAACAGTCCAACTCCAACAAATTCCAAAATAAAACAGCAGTATCAGAGATAGTCTGTATTGTGTCAGTGAAGTATTCATCCATTTTCTGTTTCACTTGTATAGAATTGCAGTAAAATCATTTATGACTTACCAGTGCCAATGTTCCTAATTAACTCACTGAACAATTTACTGTGAGTATTAAACACTGACTTAGCAACAGCTCCAAGAAAACATCAAGATAATCCCAGTTTTGTAATGTTCAGACTGGCAAGCCAAAAAACAAAAAAAACAAAACACTATTGTTTTGTCTTGCGTTATCTGTACCTTTTTTAGTTTGCAAAATAGTACACTCTTGCTAAAGTTTTTTTTCTTTTTCTTTTTTTGAATAAACATCTAAAGGTGCTGTTGTATTGTTTTAAGGTTTAACCAGGTGAGCACTGTAATCCACTTGTAAAGTGTGATCTTAACTAAGTGTCCCAGCTAAAGACGCTCACTCTCAGTATCAGTTACTACTGATGTCCTAAATGAACATTCAGCTAGCTTCCTATGCTTGCTAATGGACACTGCCTGCTTTAGGGCTCTTTAGCAGTGCTGATCCAAAAATCCTGCAAATGCGCTGCAGGTTTGAATCACAAATGTGGTTTTGCTTGGTACGTCCTTCAAGAAAGTCAAAAATGTCATGTGAATACACAAAACGGGAGATGTATAAATAACTTCAATGTATCCTAACATGGTTTTCTAGCAAGGATATAATACCTGCCTTCTATTAGCGTTTGTTGGCTGTGTGACTAGTTTTCTAAATTGTATCTTAATGTCTTATTCCTGTCAGAAAGTATATGTCGCATCTGCTTCTAAATATAAATGTATTTCGAAATATTTTTGCCCTGCTAACAGCATAAAAACTGTTATGTCCACAAGTGTTGCCCAGTCTTGGTGTCCATGTTGTCTGGACTTAGCTCTTTGTGGCTCTCTGTGGCTCTGTTTACACTTGGTTTTGAATGCATCTTGGGCAATTGGATTGCAGGTTGACTCAAACAACTTGTTGAGGTGGTCTGGGAAACATCTGACCACCTATCTTTTGTAGTGTCCACACTGATGCGTCCTGATACGTCCCCGTCAAGGACATCACAGTAACTGAGGGCAGGGCCCTTTGACCTTCTGGCGGAAGTGGCGTAGGCAGTAATGAAATCTGAACACAAGTGGTCAGCCGGACACCTTAGAGATACATGATGGACACAGGAGTAAATGGTGATGTATCTCAGCTGTCTACTAATGATCTGGTCTCCCAAGATGCATTTTAAAACCAAGTGTAATCGGCCTGTGACATTGGCCAGGGTAAGCATTTGGACGATGGAAGAATGGATAGATAACAGATGACTTTTACTTCTGTAAAAATAATTTACCCTTTAAGTGCTTCCCTTCCATGGCTGCCAAAGCCATCCAGAGATGCAGTTGTAATGTAGGAAATATTGCCGCTCTTTGTGCTTTTCTTCCACCTCAGGACTGTTATCAGTTTAATGTTGATTTGTATCTGTACGCTTCCACCAAAGCCCTTTTTTTATTAGATCTGGCTTAAAATTCCTGTTAAACATTTACAGTATCACTGATCAGATGGCACTATGCTTGACATTTGCTATCACAAGCTGAACGACTTTTAGTTTCTCCCTGAAGTCCTTTCCTCGGAACTGGCCGCCGTTACTAAGATGACATTCTGTGTGACACTTCTCAGTGTTGATGATGGCCTCTCATTTGGACGTTTGCAGCTCTTGATGGCACGATTCTTTGGAATGCCACTGCCTTCTAGGAGTGGCGTTGTTACTAACTGACGGGCACTCCCATAAAGCCTATAGGCATCAAGCGTGCCAGGACTGGCGTAGACCCAACCCTCTCTCTGCACTGACACTGCTCTCCCCTCCACTTCACATCCTTCTTTACTGAGACATGGAAGTATCGGTTTGGACTGGTATGAATTGGTAGGTGTTGGCCATATCTCAACAGGCAAAAATGCTCAATCTTATCCCCACAACTGTGCTTTGATTCTAATGTAAAGAAACATGAAAGGGTAACGGTGTTGGTTGTAGGTGGTTTGCCTTGTCTCACTTTTGCAATGAATTCAAACAATACTCTGGTCAGATTTTCCACAGATTTTCAGATACCCTTGTAGTACTGCTTGATGCTATCAGTTGCCCTTACTGACATTTCTGGAATGGGTGGCAATCTAATCAGCAGGTACTCAAAAGATCAATGAAGACTACATCTCCCCCCCCCCACAATCTCCATCTTCATCTAATTCTGAAATTATGCTGGTTAATTATCAAAGACTCTAAGTACAACGCTGCAAACTGCATAAAGTAAAAAAAAAAAACCTGAACTTAATAAGGTCTAAAATAAGCACACTTGGTGTTCTCCACTTCTTGGTAATAGTATTGTAGGTAGTGTTTAAAACACATTAATATATGCCCTTGTGGAAGTTATAAAACCACAAATGGTTTCTTGGCAACTGCTTTCAGGCACTAAACACAGCCTTGGTGACATTTTTCCCACATGACAACTTAATGTACATTTAGACTCTTTGCTGCTGCGTCCCAGATAGATGTTTGTGATGGTTTATGATCTCAGTGTGGAGGATGTGCTTTGTTTTTGAAGAATTTCTGGGAAGCTGTGACTCAGCCTTTGGGCATGTGAACATCATAGGCTTCAGCTGGATGGAAATCCTTAACTCAGTCTCTGAGCATGTGTACGTCACGGACTCCGGCTGGACGGAAATCCTTAGCTCAGTCTCTGAGCATGCGTACGTCACGGACTTCGGCTGGACGGAAATCCTTAACTCAGTCTCTGAGCATGTGTACGTCACGGACTTCGGCTGGACGGAAATCCTTAGCTCAGTCTCTGAGCATGTGTACGTCACGGACTTCGGCTGGACGGAAATCCTTAACTCAGTCTCTGAGACTGTGTACGTCACAGACTTCGGCTGGACGGAAATCCTTAACTCAGTCTCTGAGCATGTGTACGTCATGGACTTCGGCTGGATGGAAATCCTTAACTCAGTCTCATGAACTTCAGTTGACGTAAATCCTCGACTCTTTGAGCTTGTGTGCATTATGGACCTGA